GCTCTGATCCAATACTTTTCGTGTAAAATCCTGTAAAAATGTCAAACAGCAAAAATTCTCTCTGAAGTGAGAGTAAAAAGTGAGTAACAAGAAAGAGTACGGGAACAAAAAAAGCATTTTTCCTGTAAAAATGTCAACCAGTGATCGCTTGACAATTATCATGATTTTACCAAAAGAAAAAGTTCGGGTAAAATCTTGCAACTTCATTCTCTACACAACTCTCCAAAAATCACTCTCATTTAAAGGATTTTGGAGGATCATCAGAAAATAAAACGAGTTTTTAAATGTGTGTCGGAAAATATTGCAACAATGATGCTTTTCGGAGCGATTCGAGCGAATCGATATGTTTCCATGCAGATTAGTTCGATTTTCATCATATTTTTTAATAAAAAATAATCAATCACGCATTTTTGCTTAACGGCGTTCATTGTTGTTTAACTTTGGCTTTGGTGTTTCTCTTCTATTTACCAAAAATAATCGATAAAAGCGGGTTGCAGGCAGAGAAGTTATCTTTTTAATACAGGATTATAGGTTTGTTACACACAAGCAGCCCAGAAAGCGTTACTCACGCTAGAAAAATGGGTAATAGAGAACAAATGGCTTTTTCGTGCCCGAAACAGCCCGGACATTTTTTCCGGGCAGAAATGTGCGAGAAGTCAATTTTCGTTTACATCCGACAGCAAATTTTTTAAAATATAAGAATAGGAAGTAGCACTAAAGGTTCAGAAATGTAGGTTTTTGCTCATTTTATTAGCCATATAAGATAAATTCACATAAAGTCATTGTTTAGAACTGATTTGTTGATTCCGGGTACGAAAGGCGATTTTTTGCGTTCCTGACGCTCTTGGCACTTTTGGCACGAGTTAACACATTTGTGACACTTGTAAGAGAGTAACTTATTTTTATGCTCTAATTACCGAAACAGCCCGGAAAGCGTGCGGAATAAACCTTATATCATAACTTGGATTTCGGAGGAGAAATGGTTATTCTTAATTTCGTATAGGATAGCTCAGCTCGAAAAAGCAGATAATCTAGCTAAACAAAAAAACCTAACATCGATTGGATATCCGAATCCGGGCTGTTTGTTATTTCTTAAAGGATATCCGGAATCCGGTTATCCGGCAAAATCTCTACCCGGCACATTCCTTATATATATACATACATATATGTGTGTAGGTATGAAATTTGTGACCGAAACAAAAAAAAATCATTGGCGCATATTCATAGTCATATTTAGTACTCAACTAAGTCGAAATTATTCTAAGTCACAACTAAAGCTATTCATAGTCGCCTTAGTTTCGACTTTTCTGGCTAAGTACCAACTTAAAATTTAGTTTCGGCTGCAGCTGCAACTAAGTCGTAACTAGGAAGAAGTATTTTATCAAATTAAGGGAAAACAGACGAAATATGTAAAAAATAAGTTGGTAGAGGGCAATTTTGATAATATTGAATAATCTCCAATTAAAATTTACAAAGATCGATCCATTTTAATCGGAAGATGAAATTAAATGCGTATTACAATTCGAATAAAGCTACATCACAATTTTATAATTGCAATAATTTAGATAAATTCTCAAATAATAAGTCAGTTTCACGCTAGTTCTTTTAAAGTAAATTTGTGCATAACATTTAGATATCTACTATTTGTATGTTTCACAGCATGCTTTCGATAAACATCGACTTCACATCACTGCGGATGTTTTGGCTATTTCACACAATTAACAAGAAAAT